TGTAAAATATCTGTTTTTCGTATAGTATACCTCTGATGAAAAATGTAGTGGAATGTTGAAACATTTCATACGAATGAAAAAATACAGGATGTTTCATTTGAAAAAGTTGAATTATGTCTGTTTGAAAATGAATGAAAATTGACCGGTTTTCCGAGCACCCTATATATTGTTTCCAAAAGTTGAGATTCCAGAAATTATCGTAGTGAAGTTGACTAACTATTTCTAAAAAAAATCCACTCAATTGTTGTAGACATGCGGGAGGTGAATTAAAAAAATATTGTCTGCAAAATAGGTTTTTCTGGAATAACTTGGCAATGACACAATGGAAATTCGAAAACAAAAATTCCTTGGAGAGCTAAAAAAATATGATATCGAATGACGTACTCATATACTGGGTATTCTATTCAAAAAAATATAACTTTGGTTGGCCACGCTCGGCTGAATCACCCAGTATGCGAGAAAATAATTTTGAAAGATAGTATTTAACGGTATGACTGCAAAAAAATTGAGCAGTTCAGAAAATTGCTTCCTCTGATAGCAATGGAGCGAAGGAATCTTGTTGACTCACTCTGTATACTAAAAATTTTGCAGTGATCAGCAAATTATAGTTCAACTATGCTCTATTCGAAAGCAGAATTTACATTGAACTTGTTTTTATACGATATAAGTGAAGATTACCACAATACCTTAGAGAAAACCGCACCCAAATCGATTAAGGCGTTTTTGAGATTAGCGCCTTTGAAAAACAGTCAAAAATTCTGCAAAACATTGTTTTGGGTTCTATTGCGTTAATAAAGACCTTTTTGGATAGTTTTTACTAAAATATTTTCCATCTTAACATAGTACAATATATTCATATAACCCCGTCATTTTTTTTCCAGGATGAACATGCTAGGAAGCAACGATTGCTCTTTGCACAGACAAATGAAAAATCATGAACAGCGAGATTGTTCTGGAATTCCAAGTTTGAACAGTAGTAAAATGGGACACCCCTCCGAAACCGTATTGTACCACGGTACCAATTTACACGACAATAGAATGGTGTGGGCAACGCTAACGCCACGAGGAACTCAGCATTTCATTTCGGAAAACTACCCTCCTGACCTTATTGACTACGGAGAAACAGAAGATCATTACGAGACCATCGACAGTATTGAGGCAGTAGTGCCTCCTATCAGTCATCCAGTTTCTCACTATCCCAAAGGTGCGTGTTTTTAAGTTCTGAGATTCCTTCAAATTTTGAACAGAACTAAAATCATCTGGAGCAAAACCTAACTGTTTTTAACATCTACTATGTATGTAGAATTCATCTCTTCAGAAAGAGAAACAAAACAAAATTTCTTCAAATATGTTTGACACTTGTGGAATTTGATCTGAAGGTAATATTTTCAACAAAAATAATGAAGTTTCAATGTTTTGACCTATAGTTTGAGATCTCTCAGCAGTAAAAATTATTTTTGGTAACTCATTCGAGACATCCAAAACAAACACTGTTCCTACACACCTGAACTGCAACACTTATCTCGAGGCGTGTTTCACCAACCACGTTGGCATCATCAGAAGACAAACAATACTACTTCTTAACTTCAACCTGCGTGTGATTTGTATCACACGTTCATTTATATTTTTACTGAAAGTAGTTAAGCATCAGTGATTTCTTGCGTACAAACTAGCGGGTGATTTTTTCATGAAAATTCCTGATAATTTATTCATATAAAAATAAGCAATGCGCATCGAATCCATCTTGATTTTATTCAGGTTGAAGCCTGGCCTCCTTCCCCTTTTAACTGAAGTTTGTCAGAAAGACAAATGGGTCACAACTGATGTTTGTTGGTGGCATGAAAGTCCTTAGACATCCATACCGCCCTTCGCGTTATACCCCTACCTGGCTGGGGTGAGATAGATGAAGATATTATTCATCTGTTAACGGAGGACATAGGGGCCTCATTCGACAGAGTGTCGGGGCCTTCTATATCGGGAGGGGTCGTCTACAGCGTAATCTATAGCTTCCCTGACTAAAGAAAGCAATGCGCTGGGGCTTTTGTCAATATTTATAGTTATCATGCCGCACTTTAATGTTCCCAGAAAGCATCCATAAGTCTAGTGTCAAGTGCCGATCTTGACAATTTGAAACAATGTTTACTGTCGCCATTCTCCAAGACATGTCCAAGATATGTCCAAGGCGTTCTTTGCTTGTTTTGTTTGACCAATATAATCATTGACATACCTTTTCTTTAAGGTTACCTACTTTTCACTTATCGAAGTGAAAAAACAGTTTTGAAACTACTTTCATGTTCAAATTCTAGAAGAAAAAATCTAATTCGTTAGTGCACCTTAATTTGTAAGGAACAATAATAAACTTTCAATCAGTTTCTTTCTGAAAAGTCAAATATTTAGGGTATTGTTTAACAACTTGGACGCGCCAATGTATCAAACCAGGCAGAAAGCATCCATAAGTCTAGTGTCAAGTGCCGATCTTGACAATTTGAAACAATGTTCACTGTCGCCATTCTCCAAGACATGTCCAAGATATGTCCAATGCGTTCTTTGCTTGTTTTGTTTGACCAATATAATCATTGACATACCTTTTCTTTAAGGTTACCTACTTTTCACTTTTCGAAGTGCAAAAACAGTTTTGAAACTACTTTCATGTTCCAATTCTAGAAGAAAAAATCTAATTCGTTAGTGCACCTTAATTTGTAAGGAACAATAATAAACTTTCAATCAGTTTCTTTCTGAAAAGTCAAATATTTACGAAAATGTTTCCTTCATAAACGTTTTTTAATTAATGTTCTAGATGTATGTTTCTACGATATGGTATGAAATAAACGAAAATGTAAGAAATTATTAATTATCAGAGAATAGTTGAAAGAAACGGTGTATCTTTCAAACACAGCTGATAATGTAATTAGGAAACTATAGATTGTCTTCCAACTTTCCAAAAAGTTGATGAGTAGGAATTCACTTTTCCTTATAAACAGAAAGACCAAATTTTTAAAAGACTAAACATGAAAGTATCTCTGAAAACTTTTTGTTCACTTCAACAAGTATCAGTTAATCTTATGAACAAGAACTTGCAGCGTAGGTTTAGTGCCAGTCTTCTTCGGTAATATTAGATACTATTTCTTTAATTAGGCTCTATCACCTTTTTATTAAATTTTTATCAAAGTATGGTGTGTCCATACTTTTCAGCAATACTCTCAAGGGCATACACTTTTTCAAATGTTTTGTCTGTAAAACTTCAAGTAGTTGGTTCTTGGTATAGTAATCTTCAAAATACAAATTGTTATCCATTAAAAAACTTTGTACTTTATCTTTCCTCCAATTTTTATTCGGTGCTTTGATGAGCTGTCGCAAATGATAGGAAGCGTTCTCAATAACTATTACACAAATCGCATCCAAATTTGAGATCAATGTGTTTTCAAACCATTCCACGAAAATATTAGCTTCCATGTTCTTAAGATAGTCAACATTGCAGTCCTCAAGTTTTTTTCCAAATAATTTCAAAGAATTCGGAACCCATCCTTTATTTCCTTTATTATGCTTTATATACATTGAAACATACTATCTATGTTTCAATATTCAAATGCATCCGAATTTTATTCACTGGTATCTCTTTTTCGCATTGTTCACCATCGCTACTGGAATCACTACACTGAAAAAGTCTGCGTTGTTATCACACTTGTTATTACTATTAGTACTTGTCCAAGAACGGCACATTTTAAACAGATAACAAAAATTAAGTAATTATAACTGCACCACTATCGAATTTCAACACTCAAATCGCAGTCAGTTCCTGAACTGAACACGACGGCGATAACCATCCCCGCATTCCCGATTTCTATTCGTCACCGTAACATGACTTCAAATTTAATTTTATGACTCTTCAGCCAATCATAAAACTCGGATAGTAAAAATTATCCAATACGAACCGCCAGTTCTACAGTCCACGTGGACTAGTTCGCTGCTGGTTCATTTCCATGTATTGGTTTTTTGGCCTTTGAGAGTACCGTCAACTATAAGAGTGCACAATATTGTTTACTTCGACTATATTGTGAATTATTTGTTGCATATGGACTACTTTCAATTGTAATGTTTGGAAAGTATATGTTGACATTTGAATACTTTTTAATTTCCTTTTAAATTTTTCAGTTTTTCAAATGAGCTTAGTCTTCAAAATGAGCACTAGGTTTTTTGAATTACCAATTGGTGAAAAATGTTAGGTAACTTAGTTATTTACATCCCATTGTGATGAAAATGGACCTTTACACTAATATTGAAATAACCGCATAGGTGAACTACATCGTTTCATATTTTCACAAATTTTTTTCAGTAGTTTTTTTAAATCGAGTAAAAACGATGGTCGTGACGTCACTAACAGTTGATATGAACTTGGCAACACCGTAAAACTTACTCGTATTTCATTTGGGATTTGTACAACACAAGTAAAACACAAATTGAATAGTTATATCGTATATTCATTCAAGATTCAAGTACCTCCTTCTTAGGGCTTTACAAAAATTATCATATACGTTCTAAAAACGTTTCTTGAAAGGGGGATAAATTTCAATGGTAGTAGTCATTTTTGAAACTTCGATTTTCCTTCGAAATGGAAAAATTTGATCTTATGATAGAATCAATAATATTGATTTTATCTTTTTTTGAAAGTGTAAAGGTTCATTACCACGAAAAAAATAATTATTTCTATTTTTGAAGTGACTTTTGTCACATACTGTTGCAAAATTTGAGGGAATCAGTAGAAGTAGATAGTTAGTAGTGGTAAACTATTTTTCAGCATTGGAAAACAGTTTTGACAATTCTGGGTTCCTAGATTATGAATATGAAGACCCCACCCCGCTGATAGAAAGCTACCAACTCAACAACATGGAAGTAGACGCACAGTACCAAGTGATTGGCAACACTGACATGCGGTGCTCAAGCTTGAACACCATGAGGAGAAGCCTGCCAATTTCAAGACCAAGAGTTTCATCCCCTACGAGAATAGAACACCCCAATTTACCACCGCTGAATTTGTATCCGCATAAGGGAACTTTGAAAAAGAATGCTACCTTGAGCTATAAAGCTGTTGATGGGGCGACATTGCCCAAATATGGACTATAAGTATTTGAGAACTTCACTTTGAGGTTGAATTTTTTTTTAATCTGTAAATGGTAGGTTTTCAGTCACTCAATCCATCTAAAATATTATCATGTTTAACTCACATCTGTGAGATTTACAGATTCTCATCCATTAATAGTATTTAATGATAAAACAATTTCTGACTACCATTTTGTTATTCAAAATAGGAGACAAGGGCCTTTCATTCAGTAATATTCGACCACAAAATTACAGACTGCTTGGTTTACTAGGATTTTCCGAGTGAGTGTAATTCTGAGTCAATACTCCAAAATATTCCAAACTTCAAAAAAAAAGTAATGATTTCGTTTTTTGTCAGAATGTTGATCGATACTACAATAATTTTTCTGTTGACTTTTTCTACCGATTATATTAAAATTGAGAATATTAGAGCTATAAAAGTGTTTCAAATGATCAATAGATTTTTTTCCATAATTACAATATGAATAATAAACATAACAATAAATATGTTCAGTTAAAAATGAAGTAATCGAAAAATAAATCTAAAACCATGACAATGCAAAATTAAAAAATATACAACGGAATTGGCCGATATTTGATGAAAATCCACAACTAACTTATTTAAAAAACACTTTTTCTGAGATTTTTACTAAATATTTGTTTGTTGAAAACATTGTTGTAAACATTTTTGTTGAAAACATTTGTTTAGTGAAAATCTCACAATGAAGTGTTTTTTGAATACATTTTTTCAAAATTAAAAATCCTGTTTATTTCCTCCAAAGTAATTTGACATCTTAGTTATTATCAAACAATCAACTACAATAACAATCCACGATTAAAAGAAATCCGCTGCACTGTTCAAAGTTTGGAAAATAAAAATGTCAATTCAAATAATATATTAAACGTCTTTTTGGTATTTTCACACCTATGAATATATGAATTTGATACATTTTCAAAAAAATGGTGTAACCAATCGAATATAACCAAAATATTCAATTTTCATATTCAAACAAAAACACGTCAAATGTCAAAACATTTACCAACTTTGAGACTTCAAATTTCATCAAGAATTACCGAGGAATCAGCTAACAGCTAATAGTAAACATATAAACATCTGTAATCCCGTATATAGTTGACGTAAAATTCAAGGGCAATACTTCACTTTGTTTTCCCGTTATTGGGTTATACTCTAATATTTTACTTGGCTTCCGATGAAATAATAATTTTTCATTTTCTGTACCTATCTACAGCAAAATGCCGATTTATTTCTTAGAAATGGGGGCTCAAAATGGGGTTTTTCCGTTGACCGGCTTTACCCCCAAACAATAACAAATCTTGTGCCAGAGCAAGGGATCCAACCTGCATCCAACATAGAGATTATTTCATGAGTGGAATTCACTAACCAACGCTATATATCCGGCTATCAACTGTAAAAGGGAACATTTATAAAAACTTTTGTTAAAATTGGTCATATAATGAAATTCTGAAGCTCAAAGTCAGCTGTTGTAAAATCCAATTTGAGCGAAACACGTGTCGCGGTTTTGTTTCATAGAGAAGGTCAAAATAAAATTGATCAGTAACTTTACAGTCATAAAATTTCTCTTTGGCTTGCAAACCCCAATTTTGAAGAAATAGAATATATGATGCAAAATAAACAGTAATAATTTGGATGGATTACCAAATAAAGAAATTTATAGCTACCTATCACAACTGTTCAAATTATCATATTTCATTTCATAGATTATCATATTAATTGTTAATATTTTGCGAGAACATTGGGTTTCAAATTATAAGTGATAAATTTTCAACTGATCGAACGTCGTCGTTAAAAAATAAAATGGGCATCACTGGGCCAGATGTCATTTGTTTATCTACTTTTCATTTCGATATATATATGTAGATCTATATGTGTGGTACGGTATAATTTACTTTCTACTTGAATGTTCCTAGGTGTCTATAATAATTCTGTTGATTTTTTGTTTTATTCGCCACAATTTTATAAATAAAATTATTGTTATAAATACGTACCTGAAGATTATTTCAGCTAACTACCCATTTTCCAGTCCTCAGTACACTGAGAAAAACGTTATTATTATTAAAGTATTAGTACTTTTGATGCACTGTTTGGAACCTTTGGTGTAGTAATAAATATTACTGGAGTTTTTTGCCAACACCAAACCTTCATTTCAACACATCGACACGTGTTTCGGTCACCAAGTGATCATCTTCAAGAGGAAGATCCTCTTGATCTTCCTTGGTGATCGAAACACGTGTCAAGGTGTTAAAATAAAGGTTTGGTGTTGGGAAAAAACTACAGTAATGTAAAGTATTAGTATTCCACATGGGGCATAGTAATTTGTAAATGGGGCACAGTTTACTCGACAAAAAAAAACGAATGAAAAACACAATTTACGAGTAAACTAGATATGGCAATGACGAATCTCTTTATTATTATTATTGAACAATTCGATTGATTGAAGATCGGTTTCGATAAGAATTTTCTTGTCGTTAATGAACTTTGTAGGGGAGATCGGGGCAAGATGAAGTTCGGGGCAGCACGGGAAGTAAGCTTGTGTGCGTGAATAGTAATCGTGTTCGGAGCGGCGACAGCGCCATTTGCACGAACTTCACTCTCCGCTAGTGTGTCCAAGCAGAGCTAACAGGTTAGAAATCGTTTTTGCGTTGCAGAGAGAAAAAAGTAATATTGCAAGTGTTTTACGCGATATTTGATTCGAAAACTGATGTACAGACATGTAAGTACCTGTGTTAATGTATTATTTCAATCCCGAGCTTATTATAGTAGTCCAAAACATTAAATTCAAACCAGATTTTTTCGCCGGTAAAGTTTGAGGTTAGAATTGCGTCATCTTTTTTACCTACGTGTGGATCGGGGCAAGATGATCGGGGCATAATGGGATACTATCCCGTTTTGCCCCGCCCTTGTGATTAAAACAACATTTTCTATGTACTGATAATCAAGTGACTGAAAAAGGTAAAAAACAAATAAAGAAACCTGGAAAAAATACTGCAAAGAAGATTAAAAAGACAACTGACAAGGAAAACCTGCAGAAAAAGCGTCAAACCAAAAGGTGCAAAAAAGAAACTGAATCGGAAGATAGTTCATCCCAAGAAGAGGATGATGACTGTGCTTGCATCTATTGTGGGTATTTATACTCAGATTCAACCGAAGGTTGGGTCATCTGCGGCGTGTGCCACGGTTGGGCGCATAATTCATGTGCCGGAGTAGATGAGGAAGATGAAGAGGCACACATTTGTGAACGCTGTCTATCCGATTAAAAAGCGTACTCGTTTTGCCCCACAGCGTTTCTCATCTAACCCCAGTTATGGGGCAAAACTGGAAATTTGCAGAGTTTATTTTTTCATTATTTGCCAAACAAAGTTCTGTGATTTTGCATGCTACAACGTTTAATTATAAGAGAGAAATGTATAATGGTTAGGTTAGGTATGGTTACCTCTTTTGTTAAAGAATGTTATTAAAGAGTTAAATTTTCCTTGTATATCGAGTTTTGTCTTAGCTATCTCATCTTGCCCCAGTCTCCCCTATTTGTCTTACTTGAATCAAGTATATATTTACCTAAATTCCCTCTTCTACTTGTTAATTTAATTTATTAGAGATATAGATAGAAAGATAGAGAATTTTGTACTCTATACATTGATGCTGTTCTTTTTTCCAAATTTTAATTTTTTGCCTCGTCAGCTTATTACTATATGTAGTCGTTAAGCAATTTTTGGCTAATTTTTCTCTCAATTCAAATTGAACTAAAGCGCTCCTGAAACAGCTCGAAAAGTTAACCAGGCATTTGGCAATGATATTGTTAATGATCGCACTATTCGAGTTCGACGTTGGTTTGCGAAATTTAGTCTTGGAGATTTTAGCTTCGAAAATGAGCCCCAAAGTGGTCTACCTACAGTAATCCAGGACAAGAACTTGCGGATCCTAGTGGAGACTAACCCACCACAAACGGTGCGTGAGATGGTGGAAGAACTGGGCATTAGCTTCCATGCGGTTTTTGATGATTTGAAACGTTTCGAAGACTGTTCTTTGCTTTTACACAACCAAAAACGATCCTTTTTTGGATCGTCACGTGTGATGAAAAATAGATCATCTACGACAACAGCAGACGTTCAGGACAGTGGACAGTGGACAGCCTTCCCAAAAGCTAAAATCCACCAAAAAAGATCATGGTATAGTTCGTTCAGTATTGTGTGAGAGTAAAAGAATTTCAAGAATGCAAACATGTCGCTACATCAAAGAAAACAATATAGTCGTCTCAAGCAAATAGCACTGCAATTCATCCACAAAATTATTGAGATATGTCTACCCTCTATAACCCTTGAGAACCCTGCTAACGAGCCATTAAAATATTGATATGCGACAAAGAACGCGAAAACACCGACAAAGAATGTGAAAATACCGCCAAAGGAGCCACTCGAAGTTTTTTTCTGATATTACGTTTAAATTAATATTAATAGGCGTCGGACTGGGGGTATTAATATAAATTTTCCATTGTTATATTCTGTATGATTGAAGATTCATATTCCTTATTGGATTTTATAGTTGATTCAGAAACAATTTCATAGTTTTAATGGGAATACTTACTTCGAATAAGACATTGCGATAATTTTAATCTGAAAAAAGTCTACAGGGATTCGTTGAGTGATTCTTCACTGGATGAATCAGTTTCATTAGGATTGATGACAACTGGAATAATTTTTTCTGATAATGAGTCTATGCGATCATCCAGATCACACATCTCTGCTTCAATTCTGATTGTTTTGTGGATACATTTTTCCCAAGCTTGTTGGTCGACTGTTTCCAGAGCACTGTATAGGTATTTCTTTACTTCACACAGCTTGAAGGTATTATTATTTCTTGCGATGAATCCTTCAACTTGAGCCCAAACCAACTCTATTGGATTCAATTCACAGTGATAAGGCGGCAACCGAAGAACCGAAATTCCTTTAGTCTTCGCCATCTCATCGGTGACATACCTGACGAATTTTGACTTATGACGCTTAGCCAAGTTGAGGAGCTCCGCTTTCAACATGGTCGATTCAAAAGGAATAGCTTTCATTTGTAACCACTCAGTAATATCTGCTTTCTTCCAACACGACGTCGGCAGCTTCTCGACTTGTCTACTGTGGTAACTTGCGTTATCCATTACTATTACGGATTCCTGCGGAAGTTTTGTACAAGTATGTTTTAAAACCATTCTTCGAATACTGTGGCATCCATTTATCGATGATAATCCCTATTTTTCTTCGATTCAAACACCATCAATCCATCTTTCACGAATCCTTCACTGCTGCCTATGTGAGTGATAATAAGACGACGACCTTTTCCAACTAGAATTTTCAAACCAGTGGACCAACCTTCCAAAAAGGCTTGCCTTCCACTTTTGATGTTCTGATCTTGCCAAACCTTCGAGACTATATAACCCTCATTGGCCCATGTTTCATCCAAATAAAAAATAGATGTACCTAGTGCTCTGGCTTTCTTTATTTCACTTAAATAGATTCTTCCTCATTCTACAATCTCTGATTTTTCTATTAAAATGCTCTTTCTATCTTGCTTTCCAAAATTGAAATTCAGCTCATGTAATATCTTCCATAATCGAGAAAAAACTGTCTTCACGAATAAATGTCAAAACTTTATTTAATGCAAGTATTTCGTTTCTTTATGTAAAAAGAGTGTACTATACTCCTAATAGAATTCTTGACTTCTTCTTCGATAACCAAACACTTTCTACCAGTGGATACTTTTGGCTCGAAAAAGTTGTTTTCCTTGAGCTCCTTGCGAATTCTAAAAATTGTCGATCTATTGACACCGGTCATACTCGCGCATTTTTACACTACTTCCTCCTTACTTTTTATTTCGGGCGGATATTGTATTCATAAAGAATTATATGCAATCATAACAATTGTTTTTTCATTTATATTTAATGGTGACAATTTCGGACGCTTCACGATTCCCGAACAACTAGCTTCCATGTTGTATAGCTGTTTATTCAACGCGCTCTCGAAGTAAACTGAAGAATATCATGAATAACCCCGCTAAAAAGCCAAGTCGGTCTTATTGATGGGTGCGATGTGTCTGTTGACAGTATAATTCAAAGGAATATCTATTTATACCGCCTTCAAAAAAACAATGTTTTTTCAATCCCCTTCAACTAAATACCTATTTGTTGGAGAATGTCTTGGTTACTATATACTGGACATATTTTAACATTTGTCATAGTAGATTTGTTACTTTGTTTGTTATGAATGATATTTTTCAAGAATAAATACTGTATTTTCGTCGTATGAATTCATTTATTTAATTCGTTGAGAGTGAATAATTTGAATGCAGTACACTAATTGATAAATAGCTACGAGAATCGAATTATGTTACCTATAAAGAAATTCGCAAAACTGACACAACCGTCAACGACGTCTGGCCTCATGCGTCTGCCCGCGTTCGGATCGCGTTCTCGGCGATGGCTCTTCATTGCTTAGACCACCCCTCTACTCCCGCGGATTGTCCCCCCTCTTCTTCCAGTAGACGCGATGAGTAATGGCTTACTGCGTTGCGTCAAGTTAATCTTATCGTGATTCGTCCAAATTACTTAGTGTAAAAGACGAAGTTTTTCTATTTTGAATACTTAAAACCACAATTGTATCAATTTTTATAAGAATTTGACAGATATTCTAAAATGTGCATTGGCTCAGTATTTTGCATATAGTGGCTACCACATAAGGGGTAGATATTTGTTATCGCGGACTTTTATTTAGGACTATTGAAGATAAACAATCTTACGGTACATTATCTGCCTTTAACTCCAACGGTATAGGCAGCACACGCCAAGATAGCTCTCAAAATTTCGAGTATCAAATTCACATTTCCATGAAACAAATATTAAAAATATGTGCCCCTTCTGTGCTTCCGTATTCGTCTGTATTTTTGTTCAGAGTTGTAGTTTTGTAGATTCTCTCCAAATCATATGGACATTTAGAACTTTTTAAATTTGGAACCCCATAGAAATTGTGCAACACTAATTTTGTTCAGTGCGATATTGCGTCTAAGAGTAAATTATTTTCATACTCAAGTTTCGAAGGCTGTATTCCCTAGTCAATGCCTCCTCTTGTAGCATTGGATAGGGCATACTACAATCAACCTGAGAGGTTTGATGTCCTCATCGTGACTCCGTCACGATTGGTGTGGACAAAATCTGGGCTTGTACTTGAGGTTAATTTTCAATTTAATGAGAAATTTGAATGTCTTTTTCAAAATGAAAGTGGTATTTTTAGGACAGGTTGATTTTTTTGGAAAAAAAGGTTTTGGCTTTCTACTTCTTCATCTTGATACGAAAAAATGTAGAAATTTTCCAAGGAATCAATCAATTTTAAAAGAAGTAACTCTATACATAGATGTGTAGATTATGCTAAGAAGTAACTTTAAGACAAACTGGAAAAAAAAGCCATCTCGAAACAGCTACATTCATATAAACATTAAATCAAACGTAAAATTACTTTCGAAACAAATTCTTTTATATAAACACTGAATTATACAAAAAACACTTTTCTCTAGTCATTTTGTATTCCAAACATTCGTTATGGAATTGATTCCTTATGGAATTGATTCGGATATCATTCACAGCACTCCTACACAATATAGTAAATGAAAGAGGTAAAATTTCACTTACATGGAACACTGTAATCCTCGATGGGAAACATCCGATGTTTCCCCGTAAGGCACTTGCCTTATCAGCTCTTCAGTACCAAATTTGGATAACATTATAAGAAAAAACACAATTCATTCATGTCATCGATGACACCGTAATGACATTCATTCGCTTATTTGATTAAATCCTAGCCAAAGCAATGTTGTAAAAATTGAAAATGTTATATTTTTGAGAGGTTTCAATTTTTTTGGAAAGAAAGGTTTTGGCTTTCTACTTCTTCATCTTTATACAACCATCGTGCCACTTTGCCCAAACCATCTTCTCGATTTGTTTTGTTCTGTGTAGATACTAATGATCGACTTCATTTTTTTTGCGCATATTTCCGTAACAAACTGACAAAGATAGAAGATGGTAAAAAATAGTAAAACATATTTATTCGAGCTAATAGATTATCTGATGTTTTTTGACAAAAAACTTGCAGATCAAAGCTAATAAACCCGAAAAGAAAAAAATATTCGTTTTTGTTACATTTCAAATTGACCTACATAGTTCTCAAATAGTTCTACGTACCGAGTTTAGATTGTATGTGGTTTGGTGGATTTAAAATTACCACTATTGTGGAACTACTGAAGAACAGTGATAAAACTAGTGAACCAAACGTCAAAATATTAACCGATGAATTAGTTGTGGTAAGAATGACAATTGGCAGATGACAGGTATGAATTTGGAATAATTCAAAGGGAGATTGTTAAAAAATATCTGTTTCAAAAAAAACACAAAAGCATCCTGGTCCAATTAGTGTTTTCAACAAGGAAATTGAGATATTATTATGTTATATTTATTTAACATACTTGGATGAAAAAAATTTAATCATTTTCACAGCATTCATCAATTACATTTTCTGAAAAATAAAATGAATATTTGAATAACTCAGGTAGGTACTCTTTAACACCAGAAAGTTCTCGTTTTCATCAGTTTTCTCATTTAGTTAATGAAATCAATGAACTATATGGGATGAAACAAGTTTATTTTGGTAATTATCTAGAAAGACATAAAAAAACAAAGAAATATAACGTAGACCAAGTGAAAACTCAGTAAATTATAAAACCAATAATATAAAATTTAATCCACTCATCCTCTTTTGCCGAAGTTTCATTTATTCGTGGACCATAGGACCCACGTTCCTTTTTTCTGTCATTTAAAAAATATTATAGATGAAAACACACATTCAGAATAAGAAACTGATGCCCCTTTTCACAACAAAGGGACTTCCACCCTTAAAGGACACAAAAGTATACTTAACTCATTTTTCAAATTCATTTTTTCATCGAATGTGGATAACAACAGACTGGAGTGAAGAATAGTGAAGTTACCGTTATGAAATTTTTGTATGTGATTATCATCTTCCTCAGACGACTCAGCGGAACTTCAAAGAAACTCATATAAGCCGCCTACTTCGATGTTCATTTTAATTATTATAAGATTCATTCATTGGAAAATGTATGATTACAGTGTATATTTTCCATTTCGAAAATAATTTATCTATTACACACTCTCGTCTTGCTGCAAAAGTCACCAACAATAATATATTTTCAGATAACCACTGTCCACTGTCAAAAATTCTGGTTAGTAGCGGTCAAGAAGTGGTTATTTTTGGAACATATATTTAGGTTATGTTGCGAATAATGATCACAGAACTATAATAATGATTCCAGTATGCCTCCATTTTCTATGAATGTGTTTCGCGCTTTTTGATTGGGTTTTGGGGACTTTTTACATCAACCTCGCGCATAAGAACTTTTTTGTTTGGCAACACTGATACTGAACTGTGGGTTGAGGGTGTAGGTTAGAATTAGAAGGCTGAGTATTTCTGGAAAGAAATTTTTCTTTTGACAAAGTTAAAATTATATATTAAAATTTGAAATATGGCTCTTCACGTCCCTAAAGCTCCAGGATTCTCTCAGATGTTAAAAGAAGGTGCCAGGGTAAGTGATTAAGTCAAAAAATGGCCTTATTTGAAGCATGTGGTCAAGAAAGAAAATAACATTCTTTATTACCATTAGCACTATTCAGGCTTAGAAGAAGCGGTTATCAGAAACATAAAAGCTTGCAAAGAGTTTGCACAGTCAGTAAGATCCGCGTACGGTCCAAATGGCATGAATAAGATGGTTATCAATCACATCGAAAAACAATTTGTCACTAGTGATGCTGCTACCATCATAAGAGAGTTGGATGTAGAGCATCCAGCAGCCAAGTTGATGATCATGGGAAGCCAAATGCAAGATGCTGAAGTTGGGGATGGAACTAACTTCGTAATTATCCTTGCCGGAGCACTCTTAGGTAAGATACAAATGAGCTGCCTTCATATCAAATCCTGGATATTACACTTCAAAAATTATGATTCAGAAATTCGATACAACTTTAGGAAAGCTTGAATAACAGTTTTGACCTTCCAGTAATTGCGTACGTCTGTCAGTACAAGTTGGCACTTTATAATGTTATAGAAACTTGAAGAGGTGTTTTGCTGACTCAGAATGCACCATAATTGCAGGCTCATTTCAGGTCCTATTCCTCCTTGTCACTGATTTTCCATCTATTGAATAAATTGATGGATGTAGCCATTAATATGTGGTAGGAGGTCATCATGAAAAATGAGAAATAAAACTTTCTGTTTTTCAACCACTTTTATTTGAAACTAATGCTACTGCAGTTTCGTTTTATAAAGACATTTTCATTCCATCTGATGCTTTTTTCAAATCTGCGAGGTCTGCTAACTTTACCCTTAACCTGTCAAAACCAAATCGAAACATTACCTTACCCTACCTACTGAAGTGAAAAAAAGTTTCTGGAAACAGTCTTCGGATGTGGGAGAAATCAAAATGTATTGAGAATTTTAGGCTCCTATTTCCAGCTATTGCTGAATTTTCATGTTGTTTTGAAACAAAAGTAATTGAATTATGCTAGCTTTATCATCAAGCTTGCAGAACCAAATCAAAATCCTTTACTTTTTGGGAATTTAGAATTTGCAGTAATTTTAGGCTCTCACTAAACAATTATTTGTTCTTCAGTTGAAATGAATATTTGGGTGATCACCTCAGACGTTTAATGTAAAGGCGAATCTAATTTTCTGAAAAAGTATGGTATTAATCTGAATATACTAAGGATTATAGACTCATTTTAGGCTCCATTTCCTACCTATTTAAGATTTGCTATTTGTTGTTTTTTCAAACCATGGCTCTACTATTTTGACCTTCAAGCTGGCAGAACCAAATCGAAATCCTTCACTTTATGGAAATTTTGAACTTGCAATGATTTTAGGTTTTTTGCCTTAAATACTCATTTGAAATGTATTTGATGTTGGTTATAACTGGCAAGAAAAAAAAAAGTTTGAAGTTTATATTAGAATAGGTGATGAGTGATAATAAGAAGTGAAAGATATTGAACGAAAGTCATTTTTTGTGGAAGAAATCAGAGTTTTTCATCGACTTTCTTTGGGTATTTTCACCTACCACAATCTGAAAAATTCGTTCAATATCTTCCACTTCTTATTATCATTTATCACTTATTCTAACGAAAGCTTCAAACTCTCTTTTTCTTTCCAGTAATAAACGACATATTAAAAACATTTTAAATAAGTATTCACGGCAAAAAACCCATTTGGCTAAATAAATACAATTTTATACTTAATATTCGTTATCTATTAAGGGAAAAATACCCCTGTCAAGCTATCTCAACCACCTTGTATTTTTACATTTATTTTCAGGTCATAATTTTTGGTTCATTTTGTATTCAATTTCACCAAAAATATCATGTGTTCTGCTAGCTTAATGTTGAGCTATCTTAATGTCAGCCAACCTAGCTAGCCAACCTCAGAAAAACACTCATGTTCAACCAGACCATGCTGCAAAACCAAAATACCAAATTGAAATCTTTCACTTTTTAAAAAATTTTGAACTTATAAAAATTCTGAGCTTCATTATCCTACAGCACAGATTAATAGCATACTTGTAGAACATTTTCAAACAATTAGTTTTGTTTATAGCATGTGCATCTGAGGTAATCTCATGAATATTCGTTTCAAAGAGCAAAAAATTGTTTTATTCCGAATTCCCAAAAAGTAAAGGATTTTGTTTTGGTCCTACCAGCTTAATGATAAAGCTAGCTAGCATAAGTCAATGACTTTTATTTGAAAACAACATGAAAATTAGGCAAATGCGGGATATAGAAGCCCAAAATTCTCAATACATTTTGATTTCTCCCACATCTCAAGAATGTTTCCAGAAACTTTTTTCCACTTCAATAGGTAAAGAAAGGTATGATTTTGATTATTTTAGTGATTATTTCAAAATACTGATATTTTCAACACAAACTCCTTTTCGAGCCCTGAAGAAAAATTTAATAAAAATCGAAATGTTGGCAAAAAAACAATTGTTTTTTAAGAAAAATTGATCCTGATACCCATCTAACCCTTCTTGAAAAAAAAATTTGATCAGTAAATTGGTTAATTGGTCGTTTTTAACATTGTCAATTGAGTATGTTGAAAATGCTTCAGACTTGATTATAGGACATGATATAGAAAAATCTATAAATGTATTACTTATGATGCACTGTTTGGAACCTTTGGTGTAGTAATGAATATTATTGGAGTTCTTTCCTAACCCAAATCGTTATTTTTAACACCTCGACACGTGTTTTATACGCCTCAACATTTCCATTTGTGTATTCTCTGTGAACCGATTTCTTCTTGAAAACTAATTTTTTCAGCTCAGAATTGAACCATATTGGGAAAGTAGAAGCTTTATATTTTTTTTGTGGAACATAGTACTCCAGAACTGTATAGAGAATATTGTAAAAATTTGTAACTACAATATTTAAATCCTCATCCTTCAGTATTTCGGAATCCCAATTGATACTTGCCAAGAAATCATTCATGCCCATATAAACTCCATTTACAATGTCATAAAAGTATTCATCATATTTAAGATATTCCTTTGTATCATTTTTTAAATAAAAACATACCGAAGAATGATGTAATGTATTTTGAAAAATTGTGTCCGATGGATTTTGAACAGACATATTTATGAATGATGAAAAAATTAAATCTAAGTAAACATTTCTTGAATTTGGAATATTATTGATTTGATATAAATTATGGAAACTAAATGAATGTAATAAAGCTAGTGCAGGTGAGTTTTCTGGACAATCAACATTCAGACCAAGCTCTCCATTAAACCAAAATGCGTCGGGTATATTATAGTCACCACAAAGGATAATCTTGCTAGTACAGTATTTTTCTAAAATATAATCAACGGTAGCAGTATGTTCCATATAAGTATTCACTATAGAAGAAGGAGGAATATATACATCACCAATAATGATTGTTGAAGCACCTATTGATAATTTAACATACAGATGTTCTATATTGTCAGGAGATATGTCGATTAACTCAGTTATTAAAGATTCTCTAATGGCAATTAGTATTCCTTCTCCTCTTTTTTTATCGCTATTTGTTTGGTCTCTATCTAATCTATATATGTTAAAACCTTTTAAACCCAGTTCACTATCGGAAAAGTCTCTATTAAGCTATGTTTCTACTAAAATTATAATATCATAGTTTGAACACATAACACTTTGTTGAAATTGTAATATTTTTGTTGTCATACCGCCGACATTTTGAAAATACACAGAAAACTGATTGGGTTTTACTTTTTTGCAGCCGCTTCAGTGATTTGAGGTACTCCATTCACATATCTTATTGTTACATTTTCTCCCCTCTGCTTTCTATCATCGACTTCTTTCTTCATATTTTGCCAGTTTTTTACTTGTAGTGGAGTTAGATCAGCATTAATGATTTTTTTTTCTTGAGTGCATCTTTTTCTTTTGATTTAATTAACTTGTTTGCATCTTTTACACTGGTAAAAATAACTTTCAACGCACGGTTACCACTTTTATTCTTCTGTCCAACTCTGAATATCTGTTTAATATGTAAATCATCATGAGTTACTTCTTTAACTATTTCCTTAACAGTATTAAAGTCTGAGTTGTAAGAATTACCTCTTGCTAGATTGAACATCATAACATTGTTCATTCTTTTTTGTCTCTCGTATATTTCATTTATGACTGTTTCTTCGGAAAAATATGTACATGTTTCTTTTTGAATTTTTGATTTTAGTTCTTCAACCTCAGAAAACAACTCATCAATCTTCTTGATTAAATTGGGTACTAATCTTACCCCTGTGAGACAATCATCACAATAAAACTTCAACAGCCGTGTCCCAACGACACCGTTGGGTTGGAAACTCGTAACTTCCGTTTCAGTTGAGGGGTAAGTATGTTGTCGCATTTCTTGAGGACGTCTTTTACTTCGACTTCGAGAAAAAGTCAGGAATCAAATCTCCAAGAACATGATAACGGATAAACGGAAGCATTCAAAAAACAACGATAAAAACCAAAAGAAAATTATCAAACGATTGAAAGACAAGGACGTTTTTTATTTGAAAGCCAACAAAGGTAACAAAGTAGTAATTCTGGATAAATCGGACTACTACGAAAGGGTCAATACTCTCATTACTAATGGACCGTATGCGAAATTGTCCAGGACGTTACCAAAGATGATTGCCGAAGTAAAAGACATCCTTAAGAATTGCGACAACATACTTACCCCTCAACTGAAACGGAAGTTACAAGTTTCCAACCCAACGGGTTCAAAACTATATTGCCTCCCAAAAATCCACAAACCTGGAAAATCAATGCGCCCCATCGTGACAGCTATTGGAGCTCCTACCTACCAAATAGCAAAGTGGCTCACTAAGGAATTTGAAACCTTGTCTATTGCGGAATCAGGTTTCAGTATAAAAAAACTCTTTAGAGTTCATACAACATACAAAAAGCATTGTTCTGCAAGAAGGTGAGACTTTGGTTTCTTTTGATGTTAGTTCCTTATTTCCTAGCATCCCAATTCCACAGACCTTGCAATACCTTAGGGAATTACTAGAGAAAAATAATTTCAATAATAACGAAATCGATGAATTCGTTTCTCTTACTAATTTGTGTATGAAACAAAATCGGTTCCAGGTAGAAGGTTGCTTTTATGAACAACANATGCACGGGAATTCTTTTTTGTTCTGACAATCTGTTACAAAATTGTTGAAGAGGAGACTTCGAATTCCTTATTTTCTTTTTGGAAAATTGCATATAATTTTCAAAACTGAAAGCACTGAAATTGTCTAAAGGTCCAAAATTTTTAACATCATCTGAAATATGAATTAAATTATGAATATTGTAGGTTACAAACTGTTCACCATATATGATTGAATAACAACGCATAAACCATCGTAGCAAAGAATTACCGAAGGAATTCAATTTTAAACAAAGAGTATCATCAGATAATATTCGTACCGCAATACTCAAAGACAAAAAATGTTTATATTTCTCAGCATCTAATATGTTTTTTAGTACAATAGGCCCTGTATATAACAAAAACTGTCTAAGTTCTGTAGCTTTCCAACGATCTATTTCTTCGATATCCCTTGGTTCTCTTGAAAATTCTTCAGTTATGTATGGTCTCATTGACTTGATTCTAAATGAGACAATATCTAATTGTTCAGATCTCAATCGAACATATTTCCTCCCCTTTCCCCAAAACTGAATTAATCGTTTAGTAACTCCTATGTATATCAGATGCATGGGATCTACAGGTACTTGGGAAACTAAGCCTATATCTAGGTTTTCTAGTTCCGACACCATTTTATGAAAACCTGGCTGACTTTTATTCCTGAATGACTCATTGGTTCGCAGCTTCGCATCCTGAACAGAAAATGTCATGCGGTTATCAATACTCTCTCCTTTCTGCTCACACTTCGAACATCCTAAACGTGCATTATGACATTTTGTTCCAGTAATGTATGCTCTGGCAGGTGCATCACAAATGAAAGCATTGAAAAATACTGTCACGTGGGTGTTATTTACATGATATCTTTCAATTCAGTAACAAAGGGTTTACTGTACCCATGAAAGACCCATTAGTACTTTTGGTTAAAGGTAATCCATCAACATTCACATTCAATTTAATATCATTAGGAATTACTCTGTAATGCTTTAACTACCTTCCTAAATTTTCTTTGATACCAAAATGAACAAATTCACCTCCGTTACTTTTGATAATTCCATCATTGAATCTAGGTGTTTTAAGTAAACTTCTAGCATCACAATTTAGCTTTTCAAAAGACTTAATATTTTTCAAAATCTTGAGCAAACTGCTTGCTGCAGATAATGAAATATTAAATGTTACTACCCACTGAGCCAAATTGATTTTAAGATTTTCCAATTCATTCAGCTTATCATCAAAGCAATATGCCGTTGAAGAAGCTGGTGAGGACTCGGTCTACATTTTCATGTGACACAAATGAATCAGACATATCCATAGTATCTCCCAAAATATTATCAGGCATATCAGAAGCACTTTCCTCAACAGAATGCATTTCTGGAGAAGAAATAAATCTATGTATATCTGTGGAAACTTTAGAATCATTTATTTCTGAACCTAAAGAACATGCATCATTTCCACCATCAGAACAGTTCTGCAATACCCGGCGTCGTTTCTGGCGGGAGCCCAGCGAAAAAACGTATTTTCTTCTTCCATACAAACTATTCGGCTTCGTTAAGAAGCTGGCTTTATTTGGTCGAGTGTGAATAGGTGTGAGCCACAATAAAGCCTTGCGGGTTGCGGTGGAAGGTCGAATAGATCCACTCACTTTGGACCTAATCTAACCTAATCCTTATTGTGCTCGTGGCAAGATGGTGTGAGGAATTATGCCATTAAAATCAATGAACATAGTGAAAACATAACCTTCACGTTCGACCGCACTTGTCAGTCAAGCCTTTTTGGCCATGGCGAACCAGATTGCCTCCACTGGGACGACTGAGCCTTAGATTCAACGTCATATCAGTGAACTCTCATCACCTGTTATAACACGTTTCAGTAATTCTGCATCGTCGTGGACTGGATTTCATTTACTCTTGTGCAACTTCCATTCGCCGCTGTTTTTGTTCAAAATTCAATAATTTTGTATCCCATTTTGCTTCCTGTTTCATACTCAAAACATTCGAAAATATTTCATGGCATGAGCTAATCGAAATGCCAATATCATCGACGACTATTCTGAATGTGATTCGACGATCATTCATAATTTCTTTAATTTTTTTGTTTTTTTTTTAAGGAAAAAACAAACACTACAGGAAAATCCATAAGGCGCTCTGAGATCGGTGCCTGTGCGAAAGTATCGATTCACATTGGATTTGAATCGCTGGAGATTAAATCCATTTGGAAAAACGTTCTCAGGAAGTTTCTTCCACATATACGCAGTTCTCTAAATGAAAGAGTTCTTAAACAGTGAAGTTCGTGGTGTACTGTGCCAAGACTGCCAAGTCACTTGAACACTTCCCGTGAAAGTATCTATAGAAGAGAGACAAATCTCCAACCGTTCTTCGATGTTTCAGATTATCAAGGTTGCATGTGATGTTCGCATCTCCAATCAGGGTTATGGCTCTGTTCTGGATGGAATCTAGCAGCTTAGATGTCCATCAATAAAATTCACATATTATGAGTTAGAAAATAAGGGACAATTACCATTCCTTGACGTTTTGGTAATGAGGAGCCAATATGGAGGGTTAGAATACGATATATTTAGAAAAGAAACAAGCACGTACAGGTATATTCCTGACCCTGACAGTTCACATCACTGTGGACAGTGCTGGGTTGAATTTTTTAGTGCATCGTCTTTTGACCTAACCTAACACATGATAGGTTCAAAAAAAAAAGGACGTACAATACAAGAAATAGCAGCCACTAACGGTTTCTCGAGGGGTATTGTAGATGACATAATAAGGAAAAAGAAGTTTAGGTTAAGAATGAACGAAATCTCGACTTCCAGAAAGGACAAATGTAAAATCAATTTAGGGTGGTATACCTGTATGGTTTACCTGTATTATAATATACCTGCATAGCATAAATAGCGTTAGCTTAGGAAAGTTTCCAGTTTAATCTTCCTCTTGAAGATGATCACTTGGTGATCGAAACACGTGTCGAGGTGTTAAAAATGACGATTTGGTGTTGGGAAAGAACTCCAGTAATATTTATAAATATATTATCTATACGGTGTTTCCATATGAAGTGAGCAAGTTCCACCTTTCTCTGGATAACTGGATACAGATTTATAAGATTTGAATTACTATTTTGAAGCATTCTACTAATTCATTTGTATTTATTTCAACAGAGCATGCTGAAGAGCTGATTCGTTTGGGCATAACCCCAACAGAAATTGCTGAAGGCTATGAAAAAGCCCTTGACAAATGTTTGGAAATTCTTTCATCGTTGGTTTGTCTTCAAATTAAAGATTATCGTAATATTCAAGAGGTAGTTCAAGGAATCAAAACATCTATCCAGTCAAAGCAGTATGGTCATGAAGACTTTTTAGCGAATCTAGTTGCAAAAGCATGTGTTTCTGTCCTTCCAGAGCAGACTACGTTCAATGTTGATAATATTCGAATTTGCAAAGTTCTGGGATCCGGTTTGCTGAGCTCCCAAGTAGTTCAAGGCATGGTGTTCAAGAGGCAAGTCGAAGGAGAAATCACCAAAGCAGAAAAAGCAAAGATAGCCCTGTACAGTTGTGCTGTAGACATCATGCAGACCGAAACTAAAGGTGAGTAGCTCTAGTATCTGATTATATAGGATCATCCTCTAAGTGATGTTACTGTATTAATCTTGTTGAAAGTTAATACATGGATTTTTATCGCTGAATTAATGTTTTATGTTTATTTTTTATATTTCAGGAACTGTTCTCATCAAAACTGCTGATGAATTGATGAATTTCAGTAGAGGAGAAGAGAATCTATTGGAGTTACAAATTAAGGCAATAGCTGATACTGGAGCTAAAGTTATAGTGGCTGGAGCCAAATTCGGAGATATGGCTTTACACTATCTTCAAAAATATGATATAATGGCTGTCAGATTGAATTCCAAATTTGATTTGAGACGACTGAGTAAGACGGTGAGCATAAAATGACAATAAGCACATTCTGATTTTTGAGAAAAAATTCAGAAACATGTTATTGTTCAGTTCAACTTTCAGTTAAATTGATAATATATGTTATATACAATTGCAGGTAGGAGCTACAGTACTTCCTCGCTTAATTCCTCCCACTGCACAGGAATTGGGATACGCTGATGTGGTTTGCGTTGAAGAATTGGGTGATACTCCAATTGTTGCATTCAGGCTTGAAGGGCGTGAATCTAGGATATCTACAATTGTCGTTAGAGGAGCTACAGATAATTACATGGACGATATAGAGAGAGCAATAGACGATGGTGTGAATACATTCAAGGTAAGTAGAAAAATGATTTTCTTTGCTTTGCTCCTATACGGAATACTAACTTTATTTGATTCTCAATCGAGCAGTTTTTTATTGAATTGTAGTGTATTGATAAGTAATCTTGCAAATTTCAAAAACTCACAGTTGGCACTTGGATTGTGCACTTATATTTTTGAAATACAGTAAAATAAAAATTCACCAGTTTCTCACTAATAGCACTTGGAAGTTAATAAATATAATAAAGAGTTGATACATCAAACCTAATTATGAAAAAGAGCTTTGTTGATATGGTGAGAATTAAATATATCTTCATTTTGAACATTGTATTTCAATTACTGGTTATTCTAGTAATTCTCCAAAACTTTCATAGAAAAGATGTAAATCGATTGATCTCCTATCCAAATCTAGAGTATTCAATTTTTCATTTTATATACATATTCAATACAAAATAAATTCTTATTCATATCATAAACATATTTTTCTTAAGAAGTTAAAGTGTGTTTTTTTATTTTGTTATGCCATTTGATTAAAGGTATTAATTTCTGTTGGTTGTATCATAAACTGTATTACGAATTGGATAAATTTATTTGCCATAAAAGCTGTTGCAAATGAAAAAACATGAGTAAAAAAATTATCTGACGAATCAAAAAAATACATGATGAAGTATTTGAAACTTTGGTGATTTTTTCTACAGATACGCATACACGTACAAGCTTGATACATACATAATATATAATGTTGCATGGTAAGTTGGAGCTGAAAATAGTCGTAAAATATAAAAACAGTTCATATAGAACAGTAGACATTATTCATAGTTCAGAAAGTCATTTATATTTTAAAATAATTATTACTAGCATGGGGTACGCTAAATGTATCTAAAGAAAACACTTTTTTCACATACATGATCTGGGTGAACTTGGAAATTAATTTGAGTACATTGTAGTGGTAAGTTATTCTGTTGGAATATACTCTGATAGAATGTATTTTTTTGCTTCTTTGAGATTTTCGGTAAGCCAGTATCACTCCACCTTGCCTCATTTTCCATGGGTAGCTGTTATACGAAAAATATCTAGATTACAAGTTCCCTGTTCTCTACTAGGCATATTATACTGCTACATTTATTTTGTTTTATTTTGATTTGATATATAACCATATGAATCGATGTTTGCAAACATTTGTAATAATAATTAAAGTTTGTGCACCACTTTTAAATAGAGCCTGAAATGGTAAAAGAAAAGTTTATAAGATTTATTCAATTGTCTATAATAACTATTATACACTCAAAAGGAAATTTAGTGAAAACATTTTTTCAATACAAATTTGTTGTTGGTTATTTATGTTTGGGTAATTTTCTTGGTGGTACAAAACAGTATAAAACGGGTGGTGGCGCTTTCATTATTTTTCTTATTTTTTTTTTATTCCACTGCCACCCCAATGAATAGCGGAACGATTCTGATCAAGAAACATAACTCATTAAATCATGATGTCACAGAAAATGTTTGTTTCCTTTTGAAACCTAGTGATAATTTCATATTAAATTAGTTTTGAAATTGCCTGAGTAGCAATTGCACTGAAGACTCAGCTAAATGAAAAAAATGTTTTTGAAACCGAACAGACCATGCAAATAGAACTGAGTTTAGAACATAATATAATAATTTGAGCTTCTAAGGTTATCATATGTTGTATTAAATATCATGAACATTTTAAATGGATTCATAAGAGTCACAAATAAGAATGTTGTAATCAACCATAATGAGATGGTGATATTTTTTGTCAGAAATTCTATGTGGAAAGTTTTCTATTCATGAAGAATTATTTTATTTTATCAATAGTGAAAACTGATCTCTCCCACAGCATAAATGCTGTTAATTGAGAATCAAAAGTTCTCTAAACGTACTTAATAAAATATTTTTTTACTCACAGTCCGATACCTGTCTATCATCTATCTATCTATCTTTATTTTTCTTTCAAATTCAGACCAAGTTTTTCTTCACATCTAGAACTCAAGAGACATTGATCAACTTCAAATATTTTTTTTTTGTGAAAGCATACAAGTGTTGTTTAATAACCAATTATCACCACAAATTTGGCCATGTATCAAGACGTGTATTTCATGTCGTTTCTATTCTAAAAACAATTATGTAATTGTCCAAATGTTTAGTAATTGTCCAAATGTTCTATTTGCTGTCACAGGGAGGAACGGTGAAATATATCTATCTGCATTTTTGAGATATGTTTGAAGTTAATGTATGCCTTCAAATTCTGGATACGAAGAAAATTGTTTTTTTTTTGAGAAATCTCTAACGAGTACTTGTATGACCTCAATTCAATTATATTTTTAGAAGACATTTGTTGAGAAAATCGCTTGTTGCGATACATGACAGATTTTTTATGATAATGGATACTAAAATTGATGAATAAAAAACAAATGTTCGTATTGAAACAATAGCTGATGGAATCCCATTGCAAATCATATGAAATTGTGACATTAAAGAAACAAATTAAATCTGACTTATCGTTTGGGTTTATCATGTATTATTTGTATTTTTTTTAAATATCTTACCTTTTTCATTAGAATTTTGAGATCTTTCCATGTGAATTATAATTGTACAAGAAGTAAATTATAACTTAAGTCTTGCATCTATATGTAGCACTGTGGAGGTGTAACAATTACTGTATAATTATTATTACTTTGTAGAGTATTTCTCGAGATGGACGATTTGTCCCAGGAGCAGGAGCCACTGAAACTGAACTGTCTATCCAATTAACGAACTATGCTGATACTCTACCTGGCCTGGAACAATATGCAGTTAGAAAATTCGCTACAGCACTGGAAACTTTTCCAAAAGCTCTGGCAGACAACAGCGGTCATAGATCTGCAGTTGTTTTAGAGAAAGTTTTGGAAGCCCATCAAAATGGACAGAAAACTGTAGGCATTGATATTGATAATGAAAATGCAACATGTGATGCATTGGAAAAAAATATTTTGGATCTGTACCTTGGCAAATATTGGGGCCTCAAATATGCTGTTTCTGCTGCTGCGACTATTTTAAGGGTGGATCAAATTATTATGGCAAAACAAGCTGGCGGTCCTAAACCAAGGAAGCCTCAGGGCAGTGATGATGAATCTTAATTTTCCAATCACTTTTTAACTTTCTTCTAACATTATCACCAGCACCATTTCTTCACTCTTATTGTTCGATTAATTAGTTTTCTATTTAACTTAATAAACCTGGTTTTATATATTAACAATAAAACCGAAGTTCGATATCTATAAACTTTTTTTTTTAGATGGCAGAAAGGTCGATATTTTATTCATCCTATTTCCAAAATGTTTACTCATATACAGTGTCACCACTAAGTCACTACCATATGGAGATTTTTTTCATTAATAGGTATAATTGAAATTTGACTTCGCAGTTACTTTTGCTTGAAAAATGACACTTCAGTTGTCATATCTGTGAAATTAAATATCTTTTTAAGAAATTTTCAAAAAAATCATTAGGTCCCTAAAAATTTTTAAACTGTCTCTGAAAACTTTTTGAAACAAGTGGAGCAAACCATGTATCAAACACAAAACTATATTTTTTAATATAAAAAATGAAATTGAGTGGAGTGGAAAAGTGTCAAATATTATGGAAGGTTACTGGATACAGTTTAAAATTATTTTAACTGAAACTAATCTTTTGCAATGAAGTGGAATGACTGTTCTACCTGCAGATTGTCGCCAGTTACAATGTTTTTTTATGATGACCCTAATAATGTGATGAAAACAGGTAGTGAAGGACTGACGTTGAAAATATTAATTTCTTTAGATTCACAGTCAAAATTGGTTATTACGATATGAAAGAAACCATTGGTATTCTGTCTCGAAAACCATTAGTTGCAATAACCGGTGATGTCAATGTACATACAAATTTTCTTCCGTAAGTCCATAGATGCTAATAATGAATAACAATATTTATTACACATAAACTATTACTCAAATCTTCGAAAAAACATACGACATACATGTACATGCATATTATCAGATAGTATTGATGAAATCTGTAATTTTAGTTTGTTTGAAACATTTCTGTCACATCATAATATTAATGTAATTATTGTTATTCAATAACTGTGTTACAGTTTGCCATTATAAGGAATATACTTCTTTGAAAATAAGCATTAAATGTAGTCATGTAATGCATTATGTCGAAACAACTAATGTCATATTGAACAGTGTTCTTTATATAGAGTTCATTTAGCATTCAGTTATGGGTCCTATGATTTTGGTCACTATAAGCAAAAGTAAGTAAGTAATGTTGATGTTAACGGTTTCCACTGTATTTATAGCATTATCATAATATTATTTTTCTGATTAATTTGGCCGTTACTTGATGAAGATCCATAGTAATTTCATAAACTACAACTCACGATTTGATCTCCACAAACTTTATTTGAAAAGTATATCACGACATGTTTCGCTAACACAGTAGCTTTTTCAAAAGTTAACATTTTTATTTGCTCATGTGGGAATAATATCAGTTTTGTCAATTTCTCCCTTTCGCTGTTCAGTTTGGATTTTATTAGTTTCATCTTCTGAGTAATGTTTGAAATTGACATAAAAATTTGTTACGGAAAACAATTTTTCTTGGAGAAAAATATGTGTTATAAATGATTTTTTTGTAGAAAATAATTTTCAGTTGGCATTATTTTTTTGATTTTCCTCTTTAAAACACTGTCAAAGATTTTATCATAACAGTGAAAGAACCCTTCTCTATTTTACTATTCAGGTACCTGAGATTAGCAAGGTTTTTACTTGCTTTTGCCATGTAGAAGCTATTATTATTATTCTATATTATGTTTTCACTCACTTTTGGAACAATTCGTGATACCACAGTGGTTAGAATTTAGTGAAATTAACAGAACCATGTAGAAATAGGAGATGAAGTTATGACACATTCATTACATACACTCTCTAAAGAGTGATCAACTCTCTTGGAGTAAAAGAAATTAATGTTCAGAAACCGTTATTTAAGTTATGGCTATAGCCCAAAGAAAACGGCAAAAAATGTAATTGGTAAGTTGATTCTTAACTCTTTGAAAGAAATGAAATTACAAATAACACAATAAGGGGAAACGTTCAGCATGAAAAAGAGGCAAAGATGTTGCACGAATTAAAACAAATATTGAAACAGTTCAACTGATACTGCTGAACGAGGAAATAGGCATGATCATAAAATGATGAAGTCGTCTGCATAATCCAGTACTTTGTATCCATTATGGTCCAGAAGACATAGTAACTCGTCCATTACTAAAGTGTCACAATTGTGGAGACAAAATCAGATAATTAGTTGAAACTATGTCCTTGTTCATGTAAGCATATTTTACTTTTTCCTTGACCTGGCATATTAGTCTTGTTGCAGTGATATGTCCCTAATATGCCTATAAAGTAGTTTTTCTATTGTTATTTATTGCAAATAACGTGGGATTGATTAGTCTAAAGACCTTCGCCAAGTCCTATCCGATTTTCCCAGGTTTCATAATGAAGGTGGGCATAATCAGTCGCCATTTTGTTGGTATCCCAGCGCCACACTCACTCTGAGGATAACGCACAAACTTTGAAGTAAAAGTTCTGACCCTTTTTGGAGCTTTACTGAATAAACTCCATCTTGACCCAATAACGTATAAGGTTTAAATGAGTTTAAATCTACCACTTTCTTTGCCACCAGCCAATCCTCCCTGGACGCCATTTTAGGGGCCCCAGCTCTGAATTGTTTCAGCACTCTGGGGTTACATATTGTGATTATCGATCAGGGGAAGTGAACCAGGAGAAGCTTTCTTATAATCTCTCCTGCTTTTTTGTGTACTTCCCGGTATTTGTTTTAGATCATTTAAAGAGATCTTAGAACCCTTCGAAAGAATCTTATAAGGTCTGAACATACTTGGGTATGTCCGACCTCTTCGCATATCCTTCTCCATGTGTCTCTCTTAGATTATTTCAGGATTTATTCAGATAGGTAACTTTTGTATTGATACCAAATACCTGATTTCTTTTAAAGGTTTTTCAACTTTGGTGTCTTATGGTACAATATTTGTTGTAAGTAGAGATAATAGCTAGCAGTAATCGGTCTGCTGCCAACTCTAAGTCTGTAGAATCTCTTATCACAAAACTTGCTCATTACAAGCAAATTTGCAGGTCTACCTTCCCAGTGTTTTCCGGGGGTGATGATGATAATCAGATGAAAGTATAATCAAGTTATAAGATCCTCCGATTTCAAATTTTTAATGCTGATGACATGAACAGCATTTCTCGTCAGAAACATTCCATTTCTGAACACCGTTAATGAATCTAGTACCTAATGTTAAGTCTACAACTTCCCTATGTCTAGAGTTTAAAAAGATAAGTTCATGGCCTATGTTTGAAATATCTAAATTTGCCATAATAAACTGGAGAAGCAATTACACCAATGAAAGAAGTGACTGTTTCAGTGCTCCCTCAGGATAGGTAGTGTACATTGGCACAAGAGCAAGTTGTGATCCTTTTGCTAGGCAGGCCCTCAATCACTTCTGCACTTCCCTGGTTGATAGTGGTTTCGGACTATCGTAAGAGAGATAAACTGAGCCGATGATGATTTCTTCAGGTTCTATCTAGCTGACCGTCTTCATTTCAACTAGCATCACGTCCTTGAAACGAAAATATTACTCGATGCCAGTAAATTGAATCCTGTTCAAATAAGTATATATGTTCTAGAAATGTTTTTGTGTTTCTGTTATAAATTAACTCCCCAGATCTCTCTTGATGCCATGATCTTTTCCCTATAGATTCGAAGTTCTTGTAAGAGAGCAATATCAAACTTTCCCATGAACTTTGTAAGGACTGTCGAAGCCCCTTTTTTTCCTTCAGTTTCAACATTCAATATATAGGTAGTCAAAGTTTACAATAGGATTAAACTACAACCAAGATTGAAACCAAAAATAAGGACATATGTTTAATAAATACTGTGTTGAAAATGTCTCCACTTTTCGTGACCAACTATTCAAAATTAGCATTACTATAAATACGATAGTTGGACTATATACTCTGCAGCCTAGTTTTGAAAACGCGAGCAAGTAGATTACAAAACTTTTCAAGAAATAGGTTAAACAATTGAGTCACACTTTCGGAATGAATGTGCCTTTGTTATGCATGGTAACTATGTATTTCTGAATATGTGAGGTAGTTATATGTTTCGACAGATAGTAAAAATTTTGATTGCAGAAAAAATGTCGGCAAGTTTGGAATAGTATATCTACATGAGATGACTATATCCGCTGAAAGCCTAAACTGATGCCCAGAAATTAACTGACATATATACCTCATGTCCATCATTTACTATACACCTTACAGAAAATGAATGAGTTTGTTTTTTATTCATTCAGAAATAACTAATTTGTGGTAACCCCATTTTTCTTTGTTTTATAATGTCATTAAAGCAATATGACAGTAATTTCACTTGCATGACCAATATTGAATTAAATGTATTAGTTGGCATATAATTAATGTATATCAAATAAAAAAGTCACAAGATAGAGACTTGAAAGAAAAACTCTCTTTCCATGTGCAGAACTGCAAGCACATTTCATGAATCATACTCCTGTTTTGTTTGTTGGAGTTGGTCTGCACGTTTTGTGTCTGACGTTTCGTTTACTACTGCATTAGGCATAATTGTAGACGAAGAGGCAACGGACGAAGTACTCGAGTTTTTCTCACAGCAAATACTACGTTATTACTTCCATTCCACTGGTGATAGGCGTAGCTCCAAACACGATAATATTTATGATTATAAAACGATTTTCACACAATAACTTTACTAAAAACGTGAATCATTACATAGTAGCTTTCTTAGTTCCAGTTCGCTAACTGTTGATAATTTTTATCAAGTAAAGGCCAGTGTCTTGATAGTTTAAAACTAGCTTCGACGAACTTCTTGACCTTTTGGTATTTCAAACTACTTCTACAATACAACCGAAACCTGTGGTTTTAAACCAGTCCATATTGGAAGAAGAGCTGGCACTTGTGCCAGTTCCAATCCTCAAAACACTTCTCCAATCCTCTTCTTCCAATCCTCAAAACACTTCTCAAACTCGAGCTTTAAGATAGCCTTTAGCTCTTTCAGTGATACGTTTTCAAGGTCATCTATGCTTGTAAAACCACGCCCCTTGAAGAAATAGGAACAAGTCACATGGGGCCATGTATAGCGAAAATGGACGCTGTGGCATTGTTACTGTATTTTTTCTGGCCAAAA